TAATCCACCCCCTTTTTATTGATTCAGCCACAGACCTTAAAATAACTACTTACATTTTGATGATGCCTTCCCTTGCCTCCGAGTCTGACCACTGGGTGCCTCACCGCCTGGAAATTGATCCTTCCGCTGACTATCCGTGAAGGTGGACTGACGGCGCTGTGCATATCGTCATCACGTTGCGCAACGCCGCGGCCCGCAACACTCCTTCCCCTCCTCCTCATAGAAGAAGTTGGAGGTGTGAGAAAACAGGAAACATAAACATGGCTGCAAAATTCTTTATGAACTGTAATGGGGTAAGCTGGGAGTGTGTAAGACCAATAATGTGAGTTGTGCCACTGACCCTAACTGGCCTCATCTTGGCCTCTTACCTGCAAAGGTTGTTTAATGCTTCTAAACAGCTATAATATTTAAATTAGCAGGTCTCTTTTTGAATGGACGGACAGACAAGTAGACTGAAAAGTAAATATCTGTCCTGTGTCACAAATTAATCATAATTACAAGTATAAAGTAATAAAAAATATTTCAAGTCCCAGTCACATAAACAAATTTACGTATGTTTTAATTGGATATTTTACATAGTTATTTTATACTTTTTAGTATTACATTTTCTATGCAATTATCCACTGTATAATCTACATATAATTTATGCTGTAGAATATGTTTACTCATAAATAATCTTATAGAATACTGTTGCCCTCTGGTGGTTAAGGTGGAAACTTATTGTCAAGCAAATGACATTGGAATGTGATTTACAATGTGCTTCAAAAGTATACCATGCCTGCTGTTGTGTTCTACAATAATTCTTGACAATATTTAACCATAACCAACTGTGATGTGGTTCAAAAGGAAAAAAACCACATGGTATCATAGCGCAGCAATAATATAAACCTGTAGTGCTTTCCTCATTATGTCTGCTATAGATAAAATGGGGATGCAATGGTAAAATATAGCACACTACAGATTAAATATAACCCTTAGAATAAAATATAAGACAAAATCTGAATACAGTAAAGGGAAAAAAAACTAATTATAAAGTGCAAAATGTTATATCTGGCACATATTTTACTTAGAGAAGATGAAAGTATATTACAGATGTAAATAACATAGATGTGATATTAACAACATGCTTTATACTGCATTACACTTTACATTGTCTAAATATATAATACAATTGGAAAAAAAAAAACACGACTTATCCACACACTATATCCATGACACACAGAGTACATCTATGGCACAAAGAAACATTCCATATGCACACTATGGATCCCTTACGAATACGCTAGATCCCCTACAGACACACACTGCACTACTTTATACACACACACAACATTCCTGACACACAAACAACTCACTCTACACATGCGCAATATCATAATTAGCCACCAAACGCATGCACAGCACTCCCTCCTGGCCTTTTTGTCCTTTGGTATCCCACTTATGGAGACACCAGAGACAAGTCACAAGCAAACACAGCACTGCGTTTTTTCCCATGCAAGAGCTCTTTAGTATAGCTCTGTGTTTGGGCTGCCATGGAAGAGCAATGAACCAATGAACTAACATGCTCACTTTGGGGGGATGTGCTCAGGGCCGGCCTTAGGCCATTAGGTGCCCTGTGTGAAAAGTCTTCACGGCGCCTCCCCCCCACCAAGTTGCCGGAATACAGTCACACACAAAGACAGACAGTCACACAAACAGTTACAAGCAGACAATCAGACACGCTCAGTTACAAGCAGTTAGACACGCTCTGTTACAGGCAGACACTTAGTTAGACACACAGGTAAACAGTCACACACAGGCAGGCAGTCACATACATACACACACACTTACCTATTGCCATTATGGCTAAAAAAGGGAGAGTAGGGGGCAGTTGGTTGTGGGGGAAGCAGGGACTCCTTCCCTCTTCCTGTGCAGCAGTTACCAGGGACTTCTCGTAGGTATTAACCCCGCCTCTGCCTCGCAATAAGCTCCGCCAGGTGGAGAATAATGAAATCCTGCACCCGGGTACCTACTTTAGCTCCCCTGCACTCCTGTCATCCGACCATATGCGAGCTGTGTTGGCCACATGGTGCTCTGTGCAGCCGCACAGCTCGCACACCCCAAAGGCCAGCCCAGGATGTGCTTGTCATTGGTGATGACATCCCACCCATGACTCCAACCCCTACCAGCAGACTTCTCTGATTAGAAAATGCCTGGGCTGAATTTTTTTTCCAGTCCGGTCCTGCTGTACGGTGAGTAATTGTATGGGGTAGAATAGGAGATGTTTAGGAGGGGGAAGAGGAGAATATGTGCACAGCAAGGCTGGTGCTTGAAAAGTGTCAGCTCTGCAATGGATGGTGATTGCAGATGGGGCTTTAGAGTTTGTGGGGCCTAGGGCGACATTCTGTAATGGTTTGGGGTGAATGGGCTTTAGAATTCATGCCGCAACCCCCGTGGAGTCTCTGCTGGAGTCGGCATCCGGTGAGTGAGTGAGCCTGCCTCCCCCGGCTCTCAGTGACACATTTTAACAAACTGTCACCTATAATGTCACCCAGATTACCACAAATCAGAAAGCATCATGATTCCTTAAAGCAGTGGTGGCATATGTTTTTGAGTCCAAGTGCCCAAACTAAAACACAAATATTAATTTATTTATCTGAAAGTGTCAACACTGCTGTAACGGATCACCTGGCACCCCAACTGGGTACCTCCGTTGAAGAATGCTCTTAGCGCTTACAGAGGGCTCCAAGCGCTCCGCCAGACACCACAACCACCGTAGACCCCACGAACCGCCGCAGCTTGGTTGGGGTCTCGCCGTCTCCTACCCACCCTGGACCTACGACAAGGCTCCAGGTTCCAGTGGGTGAACCTCTCCTCCAAGAGAGTGAAGCAGGAACAAGCTCTTACAAGAGCTCAGTGATTATAGCAGATTCCCCCAATAAGAGACAGGACTCCAAATTGAGGGTGAAGTATAACTGACTATACTGGCACATACAGCCTCTTTTATTCACAATCCACAAACATAGTACTGCCTACAGGGTTTTGAAATACAACCAATCAATCTGTACAATACACACAGACACTCCCACACAAAATCCTCCCCTCTGCCTGTGATATGATTACTGAACACAATGGTTAATATAATTATGACAGGCAGAGAAATACAGTATTATAAAACAGATCACAGGGATCCCAAAACATGCAATAACCCCATAAGTATATCCTCGGAACCGGGGGATCTGGGTGAACCACATATCCAAAATTCACCCAGATCCGTTCATTAGTTTGGAAGATACAGTTTAATGCAGATTCCACAGAACATATACAGGCTATATGAAAAACAATCACTGTATAATGTGTCCCCTGTTGTATAGTCCAAAACTACTGCACGATGTCTCTGTGCACCAAATACCGGCAAGATGGCACTGTGTAGAAAAGTCCAAACAGTGTCTGTGAGTTAAAATGGCCACCATTGTTCTCACCGTGTGCCTCTGATACAGGAAATGGTGGCCACCCAGTAACTCCACAGTATGTCCCCAGATGGTTCTTAAAGGGCCAGCAGCAGCACAACACAAATCCATTATGCCCAAATAATGTCTTTAAAGGGCAATACATCCCA